TCGTAGCTTCCTGGGGTTAGTAGGATACTACCGGAGATTTATCGAGGGCTTCTCGAAGATAGCCCAACACTAGCCAACCTTACGAAGAAGGTCGTGAGGTTTGATTGGAGTCCTAAGTGTGAGGAGCGTTTCCAGGAGTTGAAGAGGAGATTCACTACCGCGCCCGTCCTGTCTATCCTCGATCCTACTTTGGAGTTCATTATCTATAGTGATGCTTCGAAGATGGGTTTGGTATGTGTCCTTATGCAGCATGGGAAAGTCGTAGCCTATGCTTCGAGGCAGCTGAAGCCTCACGAGCAGAACTACCCCACTCATGATCTCGAGTTAGCTGCAGTCATCCACGCATTTAAGATTTGGCGGCACTACCTCTATGGAGGCAAGTGTGAGATATTTACCGATCACAAGAGCCTAAAGTACATTTTCACTCAAAAGGAGTTGAATATGCGACAGCGTAGGTGGCTGGAGCTGGTCAAGGACTATGATTGCACGATTAGCTACCATCCAGGGAAAGCTAACATGGTTGCTGATGCATCGAGTCGGAAGAGTCATAGCCAGCTGTCTTGCCTACTCACTGGGCAAGATGTCCTAGTTCGGGAGTTCGAGCAGCTACAACTAGAGGCAGTGGAATCGACTTCGACGGCCGGTGGTATGTTGACCACTTTAGTCGTTGGACTGACTCTTCGGGAGAGAATAGTCGTTGAGCTGCCGAATGTCTGTTTTCTGTGCTGAATGAAGGATTTGGCGTTTAGTTGCCAGATTGGAGAATTCGCAGTCGCATCCGATGGAGCCTTGGTCTTCGAGGGCAGACTTTGTGTTCCGAAGGTGTGGGAACTGCGAAAGGAGATTCTGAGAGAGGTCCATTGTGCCCCGTACACCGTCCATCCTGGTAGCACGAAAATGTATCAGGACTTGAGGAAGTCTTTCTGGTGGCGAGGTATGAAGAGGCAGGTGGCGAGGTTCGTGAATGGGTGTCTGGTGTGTCAGCAAGTGAAGGTTGAGCACCAGAAACCTAGAGGGTTGTTGAAACCCCTTGAGGTTCCCATGTGGAAGTGGGAGTGCATCACCATGGACTTCTTAGTGGGATTGCCTAGATCGAGGTCCGAGCATGATTCTATTTGGGTGATCGTGGACCGACTCACGAAGTCTGCCCACTTTCTACCAGTTCAGACGACCATGAAGGCGAGTGATTACGCTGAATTGTTCATCATGGATATTGTTAAGCTTCATGGGGTACCCGTGGAGATTGTTTCTGATCGAGACCATAAGTTCACGGGTCAGCTCTGGAGGATGTTGCACCGAGCCATGGGGACGAGGTTGGAGTTCAGTACCGCCTTTCAACCCGAGAAAGATGGTCCGTCGGAGCGGACGATCCAGTACTTGGAGGATATATTGAGGGTTGTGGTCTTGGACCGGAGGTTGACTTGGGAGTATTCCTTTCCGTTAGTCGAGTTGACCTACAACAATAGCTACTACTCTTCGATCAAGATGGCCCCGTATGAGGCTTTGTACGGACGAAAGGTCCGGACTCCTTTGTATTGGGATGAGGTCGGAGAGAGGAAGATCATGGGTCCGGAGTTTGTTCGTAGTACTGCTGCGACAATCGAGGAGATCCGGAAGACCATCAGGGCTGCCCAAGAGAGGCAGAAGGTCTATGCCGACCGAAAGAGACAAGAGCATGTGTATGCAATTGAAGATCATGTCTTCTTGAAGGTTTCACCCATGAGGGGTGTGATTCGCTTCGGGAAGAAGGGGAAACGTAGACCTTGCTATATGGGGACATTTGAGATCCTTGCTCGAGTCGGGGACTTGGCATATCGGCTGGCTTTACCACCGGACTTGTTGGGAGTGCACGATGTGTTTCATGTGTCGATGCTGAGGAGATATTTGCATGATCCCGACCATGTGGTGGACATCGGCGAGCTGCAGGTCGAGCAAGACCTTATCTATGATGAGGTACCGACAGCCATCTTGGACCAGAAGGTCCATCAGCTGAGGAACCGCGCAGTGAGTTTGGTGAAGGTGCGCTGGTACCTTCAGCAGAGGAACCGGGCAGTGTGTTCCCCTTTGTATTTAATTGCTTTGTAGAGGTTTATTTTCGAATTTCGAGGACGGAATTCATTGTAAGGCGGACTGTAATACCCCGTTGAATAAGAATTATTTGAGAGGAATTATTGATTAATTATTGCTATTATTATTATTATTATTATTATTATTATTATTATTATTATTATTATTATTATTATTATTATTATTATTATTATTATTATTATTATTATTATTATGTGTTTATTTATATTTGATTGTCTAAATTTCCTAAATGATTTTGTGTGTTGAATATGTATTACATAAATATTATAAATGTGTATTATAAATATATATTTGCCCGTTATTATTTTTCGTGCGATGAACCGAGGGAAAACTGGTCGAGCCATAGTCGCGCCTGCGCCCCGTTGAGGTCCATAGACCCGCGCCCAAATTACCGAACCCA